CTGTACCGTGGTGGAGACGTGGTTTCGCATTCGGCAGCAGGTCCTGAACGGCTTCCCAGGCTGGGGCTGGAAGCTCAGGGCTCCACGGGCCACGGTGGGTTTATGAGTTCCAGGAGTTAATAAACAAGGAGCTCAATATCCTCTGACTTTTGGAGAGTCGGAGGTATTTAAACAAATCCAGCATGACCCAGAGGAAATGAGGGTTTGCGCAGGCAAAGCCGCCCGAAGGAGAGACGTTTTGGCGCTCGCCTGCCGGCTGTCCAGCTGAGGACGTGGGGAGCCCCCCTGCAGGTTTACCGCGAAGACCAGGCGGACCTCTGATCCATGCCCAGGGCGGACGCACCAGCGTGAGCGCGCAGAGAACGCGGTGTGGAGTCAGTGGTCTTGCTCCAGGACTCATGTGTACTTGGAAAACATACACAGGCTACCATTTTGACCATTTCAGTGTATGTTTCAGTGGTAATAAGTGCATTCCCGTTGTGCAACCGTAACAGTCAAAACTGTTCATTCTAGAACCACTTACATTCTAGAACCCCAGTGTCCCCCCCTGCAAATTCAGGTTACCACATATCTACTTTTTAGAGGCATAAAATGAGGACATAGAAGGAAGGCATTTCTGAGATATGAACTGGTGCACTAATGTAAAGTTGTCAAATCAGTGGTCATTACAACACCATCGATGACGAGTCATGAGCAGGTGGTCCCTTCACTCAACCTGCACCTTCTTTAATATACGAACGGGTCCTGCTCTTCCTGCGCTAGGTCACTTTGGGGCCACGAAAGGTCAAGATCAACTGCCCCGTGGGGGCTCTGAGATGGGTCTTGTTTTCCTCTTTCTAGTTCAGTGTCTGCACTGGACGACAGGGCTTCTCAGGTTGGCTGCGAGCTATCAGAGTAACCTGGAGAGCTTTATAAAAATGTTCAGTGCCCACACGTCCTTCCTAGAGATTCTGAATTAATTGGTCATGTTTGGGATCTGAGCGTAAGTATTTTATTTTATTTATTTAAATATGTTTGTATTGATTTTTGAGAGAGAGAGAGAGAGAGAGAGAGGAAGGGAGAGAGAGAGAGAGAAACATCAATGTGAGAGAGAAACATTGATCGGCTGCCTCCTGCACTCCCCCGACTGGGGATCGAGCCTGCAACCTGGGCAGATGCCCTGACCGGAAACCGAACCAGGACCTCTCAGTCCATAGGATGATGCTCAGTCCACTGAGCCACACCGGCTGGGCTATATTTTAAACTGATTTTTGTATTTATTTTTGCATTTTCATTGTTGGAAAACATACACAGACCACCATTTGACCATTTCAGTGTATGTTTCAGTGGTAATTAGTGCATTCCCGTTGTGCAACCGTAACAGTCAAAACTGTTCATCTTTCCACACTGAAACTGTCCCATTAAACAAGAACTCCCCACTCCTCCCCCAGACCTTGGGAACCTCCATTCCGCTGTCCGTTTGCCTAGTCAGGGCCCCTCCTCCGGGGGCAGTCCTGCACTGTGCGTCCGACAGTGGCAGTATTTGCCAACAGCTCACCACGCGATTTCTGCAGTTAGGACGACGGGAAAGAGAACAGCGCAGGGATGCAGGTGGGGGTGATGGTGGGAGACTAGGAACAGAGCAAAATAGTGGAGAACAATTCAAATCTCTGCCCCAACTGCACTTCAACCAGGTGTTGTTTCCATGGAAAACCAGCCGGAGGGGAAAGGCTGTGTTTGCAGAAAGACCACCAGCACCAAGGGACTCCGACCCCCACAGCTTGGGTTGGAGTCCTGGCTCTGCTGCTGAGTCACTGTGTGCCCTCCAGTGAGCTATGGGACATCGCCCGGGTCACTTTGTCTGTCTGCAACTTGGAGAGGATCCTATCTGCCTCTAGGGGTGGCGCCAGGCTGCAGAGCGGAGGCACAGCAGGTGGATGAGAATGAAGCCCTGCAGACTTCGGCACAGAGGACGGCGTGGCCGCTAGTGCAGGTGGGCAGTAGATGCTTCCGTCCCATGTCGCTTAAGTGCACCGGCCTTGATAACTGAAGGTGGAGAGAGCCCCCTGTTCTGGTCGGGTCCAATCTATGGCCATAGAATATTTCAGAAAGGGGCTGAAAGACGGTTATACATTAATTTTTAAAAACTAGTTTTACTTCCTGGGCACAAATAAGCTTTAGAGAGTACAATGGTTTTCAAGAGACAAGCTGGAGGGGTGATTATGGCACGTTGAAGTCAAAGGCATTCTCATTTGATAAGCGCATTGAAGAAGCATCAATAGACATCATCTCCTCAACTTCTTTCCTTTGTGCTTGATGCCAGCACCTGCCCTGTGTGGAGCGTGTGCCCGCGTGTGCACACACACACACACACACAGCACTCTGGTGTCTCGATGAACTCTGGGTTTGTTTGGGGCTCTGTGTGTGTCTTACTTTGAACGAGATGGAGCCAAGGTTGCAGGATGTGTTCTCTTTAGTTTTCCATTTAATATTTTAAGAAATAAAGGTAGGGATTAGAGAAAGGCAGAAGAGAGCAGGTAGGGAGGGGAGTGGATGGAGGGATAGAGAGCCGGATCAGCTTTGTCTTGCTAATGCACTTTGTTTTGTGGCTGATGGCCATCCAGACAGATTCAGACCACCTCACAAGGGGGAGGCGACAGAACAGCAAGACAGCTCAAGTGGAAAGCGTTATTGGGGACAAAAGCCGCACCTGCAAAGCGCAGCCTTAATCGTCTCTAGAGGCCAGGCCAATGCTGGGAGATAAAGGCCCAGCTCCACCTGAATGAGAGTCTGGCAGCACGCGTCTGCCTGGATGCTCCAGTCAATTCATTTCGGAAGAGGGTTGCTACCCAGCCAGGGCGAGCTGCTCCCGCGATGCCTGAATGGGCCCGGTGGCCTTACACACGTCCTCACTGTACACAGAAGGACCGAGGGAAGGAGGACATGGAGTGCGGCAGGTAGAGGCGAGGGCTGAAAGCGCAGGCCCCTGGAGTTCAACTCAGGCAGACTAGCTTCTGAACCACAATCTGTATCGTAAACCCAATATCAAAAATTCTCTCATCGGCTCCGCCGCAGTGTCTCGTTAGTTAATACTGACTTTTCAGCCAGCCTTAGCCTGTGGAGCTGGAGGAACTTTTTAGGATCTCCCTCCCTCCCTCCCTCCCTCCCTCCCTCCCTCCCTCCCTCCCTCCCTCCCTCCCTCCCTCCATCTCTTCTTTCCTTCCTTCCTCCTTCCCTCCGTATCCTCCCCCTCCTTCCCTTCCCTTCTTCCCTCTCCCTCCAGGTCTTCCTTCCTCTCTCTTTCTCTTCTTTCCTTCCCTCTTTCCAGGAAGTGGGTCCCCATGTGCAGATGGGGGGTGGGGGTGGGGGTTGAAAGCAGGCAGCTCTCACTCCGTGGCTGAGAAGTCAAAGCCCCACAGTCTGGACTTGACTCCAACTGACTTGGTCCAGCCCCCATATTTGACAGGAAACTAAGGTTTGGGGGATGAAGTGATTTCTCCTAAGTAAGCCAAAAGTGGCCTGACCTCCAATCGAGGGTGTTACTCTAATCTATTTTCTCTCTCTCTCTTTTTTTATCCTCACTCGAGGACATTTTTGCATTTATTTTCAGATAGAGTGGGAGGGAGAGAGGGAGGAAGAGAGAGAGAGAAACATCGATGTGAGAGACACATACCGACTGGTTGCCACCCCCACGACCCAACCGGGGCAGGGACGAACTGCAACCGAGGTAGGTGCCCTTAGTGGGAACCAAACCTGGGACTCTCTGGTCCACAGGCCGATGCTCTAACCGCTGAGCCAAACTGGCCAGGGCCCATTTTCTCTCTTATAGACATTTGAACGTGATGTTAAATAGGCCATCAAGTAAAATGTGGCTTGGACTGTAGAGTGAATCAACATAATTTTGTTTGCACGGCAACATTCAGTAAATCCGATTTGGAAAGGAAAACAGTAGCATAAATAGGACTCGCTCAGGGTGAGGTAGGGGAGAGGCAAACGCAAACCACACAAGTTTACAATCAGATTCATCACGTTGTATATTTTCTCCACTAAATTGGTTGTCATCATTTGATTCTAAATGATTCACAGGAAACACAAAGTCCTATACGATCAAAGGCATGACCTTGACCAAGACACCCAGGCTGTTGGGGTCTTTGTTTCCTCCATAACCCATGAGGATTTTGAACCAAATAAATGATTTCAAAGTTTCTTCCATTAGAAGAACCTTGCGTTTGTCTGAAATATTTTGTTGTGTGACTCTAAATGCAACTGATGCTAAAACCTTCTGCCTTTGTAAAGAAGACGTGGTGAAGGAGAGGGGCCGAGGCAGAGGCAATGCCTGGTATACTCCTCCTCATTCTTCAAGTCCACACACAAAAGCCCCTCCAGGGAATTTTTCTTCTGCCTTGGGTGGACTTTTCTCATTCCATTTTTTTCTCCCTCAAACCATTCTATTCACTTGTTTAAATGCCTAAAATCTAACACAGTATCGAGAGCAATAAACCTTTACAATATTGCTTTATAAATAAAGATGCTGAGAAATGCTACTAAAATGTTTGCAAAAATGATCACTGACAAAAAAAATTGTTTGCTGAGACTGTTTTCTTTTTCTCTCAACCAAACCAAACCAAACCAACTAGACCAAACCCTCAAATGGCCACTCTGGAACTGCTAAACATTGTTTTACGAAGTTTTAAATGTAACGTCGCAAGGATCCCTAAAACCTTCATTTCGTTATCTTCAACAGAGAAAAACCCAATTTTCAGCTTTGCCAGTGAGCACTATCTATTTCACTCCACGACCAAAACATTTCCTTTCCTGGAGTGACAACTTCAAGTCCTCTCTTTACGATGTTATTACACGGTATTTTGAAACCTTGTCATATTTTTTCAACCGGTGGCGCAAGCGGGATAAACGTTGGCGTCTCGCGTCGGCTGCTGGAAGGAGCGTGTGGGACCAGCGAGCCGGCGCACGGCCGCGCCAGGGACAGAGGAGACGCCCAGAGCACGGGAGAGCAGACTCACCCTCTTTGACGCTCAGCCGCGGGGACTGGTCTGTGTGGGAGGTTGTGTTATAGGCCAACAGTGAACCTGAAAGGAAAGGAAAAGCAGGTTGTAACCCAGACGTTCTCCTGAGATGAAGGCCCGGAGGTGACGTGAGAAGGGAGTGGGAGGGGACGAGGCAGGGAGAGGGGACGAGGGACAGATGGGTCCTTCAGAGAAAGAACAAGTTAGTGTAATGCATTCCGGGGACTGTCATAGCTTCCCGGAGTTCGAAGCAGAGTTCGGACAGAACGCTTGTGGGTGGGACACCCCCAAGCTCTCCCCGGCAGGTCCTGCTCCAGACGTCTCGGGCTCCACACCACGCATGGCAGGAGTGTGGGCCGGGGAATCCGAACACCAGGGCCCGCCCCTGTCCTGCCCTCCACAGCCCGTAAGCAGCTTTATGTGTCTAGACCTTGATTTCTTCATCCGAAAAGCGCAGGGGCTGAACTGCAGCAGGGCTGGCCGACTCAGAGGCCAGAGAGTAAATATTTCAGCCTTTGCAGGCCTGAGACACAGTCTCGCTCGCGCATTCTTCTCTGTTTTTGTTTTGTTTTGTACGTGGGCCAGAGCTGGCCAGAGCTGGCCTGCAGCCTGCGGTCTGCCAGGCCCTGGAGGAGAAGACGGGGCAGCCTCCTGCTCTGATGGCCTCTGGGTCTGTGTGTGGGGCTTCCCACGGGTGGGCCAGGCGCTTGGAGAGCCACTGTGCTGGAGGGCTGTTGGGGGCTGGAAGGGGGTGGGGCTGCCGTTTTCCCAATAGCAACTTTGCCTCCTTTTGCATATGTCTAAGAAAAGACCACCGAGAGGCCCAGCACACTGCATTTTCGGTCACCCCGAGCGCTGCCAGTCTTCTAAAATGAACCTGACTGCGTACCTAGTCTGCATCGGGCACTAGTGCTGGCATTTTAAAGGCATCACAGTTTTTGCTCCAGCGGGGTGGCTCAGCAGTGTCCTGTACACCAAAAAGGTTGTGGGTTCAATGCCCAGTCAGGCAACTGATTGATGTTCTTTCTCACTTCGATGTTTCTCTGTCTCTCTCTCAAATCAATAAGCATGTCCTCGGGGGAGGATTAAAAAAATAAAAACAAAATGAAAAAATAAAAATAAAGGCATGCTAGTTGTGTTTTTTCGTTGCTGTTGTTGTTGCATATAAAAAACATTCTCCCTTCTTTCCTAAAACTGGTCTCGTTCCTTAGATTCAAGCAAATTCAAGAGTTTTATTTTGCCAAATGTAGTGTTTTTTTTTTGTTTGGGTTTTTTTTTTTTTTTTTTTTTTTTTCAATTCTCCTCCAGATTCTTTTGGGGAAACTAAAGTGCTATCATGACGGGGCTGGAATCTACGTCTACAATGGACCCCGGAGCTTGCCGAGGGCTTGAGGCTGAAGAAGTCTTTCCCGGCAACCCTCTCCTGCTCCCTGGGGATGAGTGGACCGACTTGGGTGCCAAGGCCTGGAACAGGGAATGGGCTGGCAGACACTCCTATTTTTAGTTTCGAGTCATGGCAGGGACGCAGGAGTGGAGCTGCAGCCTCACCCACTGTGGGCGTTTGGTTGTGTGCCCCGGAGAAAATGCGTGTGCCCTTCCCAGCCAGACGACGAGGGAGAGCATTTTCTAAAAACCATCCAGCTGCCTAGAACCGATGACTTCTGGCTCGGGCGACTTATTTCTAGCTCTGAAATAGTTCCAGACAAACAAGAGGAGGGTGGTGGTGGGATTGAGCCTGCTCCATGCCAACACGGCTACGTGGATCCCGTCTCAGAAATGAGCCGGTCACATACATGAACATCCAAGAACCCGGCGTATTTGGTTATTCTGTTCTCAAAACTATTAAGGACAAAGGGAGGCTGGAACAACCTCATCTTAATATAGTTGTTCTGCAAATCAGAGTTTAAAATTAGACCAGCCTCTTACCACTCAGTAGCCTAGTGACATCCATCAGTTGACCTAATCTCTCTAAGCCATAGGCTTCTCATAAAAAATGAGCTAATAATCACACCTAATGCGGCATTGTGAGGATTGAATAAAATAATACACATAAATTGCTCAGAAAGACCTTGGCTCATAATAAGTGTTCAATAAATGCTAGCTATTATCATCACTATGTTTATATTCCTTCTCCCACAGATGCCACAATTACGTACAATAAACCCGTGACAAAGAGCTTGCTGAGTATTAGTCTTGTCCTCTGGAATTAGTTACAAGTGGGATCTCCCGCAATCAGAAATAGTCCTCCGTAACTGGAAGGAGGTGGAGAAACGGACTCGAACGTTCCAAGGGACTAGGAAGGAGTCTCAGGAGTAACCAAGAATGTCTGCCTCTCTGTCCCCGACGTTCTCCCTCAGGCTGAAACCTCACGGCTGGAGCAAATAAAGAAAAATGATGGTCTCGGAGGAGCAAGCTGCCTGAGTCATTAGTGCAGATTTAGCTAAGAGCACGAAGCTTAGATAAACCACATTTATTAAATTTCCCCCGTGGTGAACGTTCTTGTTTGGGCACACGTGAATTCCACAGGAAACTCCCAGAAAGCCAAGAGAAAGGGTCGTTTGACCTCTGCAAAGCTCGCATGAAATACATATTTCATGGTCACCTAGGAAAGGGGTTTTTCCCTGAAGACTGTTCTTGGTTCAAGTTTCACTCCCAGAAGGAGGCTCCGGCTGCCTTCCCTGAGGAGGGGCTGCTCATGGGCATCCGGCCCCTCCCGAGGGACCCGCATTCCCTTCCCTTCTCCGATCCTGATTTAGGTCCTCAGGCTACCGAGGGTGGCACCGGGCACTCTTTTCTTAAGGGGACTTGTTCTGATGCGAGAAGGTCCTCCCTGGAGCCTGGCCTCCCTCTCTGTGGCTTTGGATTTCTTTGCCCGGCTTTGAGGCTCCTTCTGCCTGAGGCTAATGTGCCGTGAGCACCCCATCTTTGCGGAGGCCACCTCCTCCGAGTAAACAGGCTGAGCTCAGAGGAAGGCGGCCAACACCGGACCGCTCACTGCGGCAAACGCTTTGTATCTGTTCTCACTTAACCTTCCACAAGCTGTGTGAAACCAGAATCCCGTGATTCCTCTTTCCCGGCTGAAGACATCAGCATTCAGAGAAATCAAGTGAGGTGCCCAGGATCACACAGCCAGAAAGCCCAGGAGGCAGGGCTCCGCAGACCCCGCAGCCTGCAGGCTCCGTCTAAGAAACAGACAACACTCCCTGGCGGGGTTAGAAGTCAGCACAGTGGTTACCTTTGGGGAGAATGGGTGATGACGGAGGGAGGGCACAGGGGGCTTCTAGTCTATTCCTTGCCCTGGGAGTATTTAAACAAGTGAGTAGATCCACTTTGTGATAATTCCTTGAGTTGCACATTTATGATTTTTGCATTTCTCTGTACGTTCCAGTTCAGTACAACATCCGTCTACGCGTTCTTTGTTTTGCACTAGTGAGTGTCTACAGGCGTAGGTGTGTGTCTCTCTGGGGCCCTGGGAAGCACGGAGCGTCTGCTGTTGAGAATGGAAGGGCCTCCCCGTGTGAGAACAGGACACTATCAATCTCCACTCCGTCCCCCGCTGGAGACAGTGTTTGGGGTCTGAAAGAAGAAGGAAATGAGCGGAGTGAAGCTTCGCAGGTGTGGGGCCGAGCCCAGCAACTGGGCTTTCTTCAGCTCTGCATCGCCCCCACCTCTTCATGGGGACACCTGGAGCAGGAGCGGCGACGGTCCCAGTGCCAAAGCCTTTGTCTCCTGTCGCATGGAGAGTTCTCCAGCGCCCCGCCCTCAGCCGGCCTATTGAATCGGGGTCTCCCTTTTCTCTGCACTGTGCTAATGGCTCGGATGGGGAGGGCGAGGGGGAGGGAAGTAGGGCCTGGCTGACTACTGAGTCCGGGGAAACCTGGCCTTTTGTTCTGCTGGGGTCCTGTTCTCCTTTCCTGGTCAGACCCGGGCCTGGAAGGGGTAATACTTCACCAGCTTAATGGCCTGGCCCCGTCACCTCGGCCCGACCATCCAAGGCTCCGTGGCAATGCCATCAGATGCAAAATGTGTTTTCCATTAAGTTTAAATTAAAAATGAGAATCAAGATAGATACCTTCTCGGTGGCCTCCCCGTCACACAGCATATTTCATCCTCTTGTGCCCCCACTATTTCAAAACACGGTTCCTTAGTCTTTTTCCCAGGTCAGGCCCCGTTATACATACAAAACCCAACTTGTTGTAAAATGAAAAGAGACCTTTTCTTTCTCCTGCCTCTGGCCGCCCCTCCCAGGACCTTCTGGGCTCCCAGAAACCCCAAACTCCCCCCAGTGGCCCTGAGTTTGAACTGCCAGTTGGGGACAGCTTCGCCCAATCTCATTTCCCCCAGGCCGCGACTGTAAATACGGCCTCTGGCTGTGCCGGCAGAGATACTGTGGGTCAGGTCCAGAGTGGGGTGCGGCGGACGAGCGAGCAGGACATGGTTCGTGTGGTGATAGGTTTGGCTTAATCTGCCTCATTCCAGGAGGCCACAGGAAAGTTTTCGGAAAGCGTTTATCTCTTGGGACGAATAAAAACAGAAAAGGCTGTGGGGAAAGTGGTCTGGCCCTCAGCATGGAAGGCCTGCGGGAGTGAGGCTACTTCTGAAGCAGAGGAGGGAAGGCGAGTGTGGGGCCGCTTAGCTTCAGCGCTGTCTGGTCATCTCGCCCCGGGGGAGGCTGGGGGCCCGGCTTCAGCCTGGGGCTGCAGAGGCCTGGGCCTCAGACACCGGCTGCCCTCCACTGGCTGTGTGCTTCGGACCAATGTCTGCAGCACTCCAGGCCACAGTTGCTTTAGCTTTAAAATGGGGATTATGAGTGGTCCACGTGGTGTCCACAAGGGGGCATCCTGTCCATGTAAAGTGAATGACACCTGGGGAGACGCCCACGGGAGCCCCAGCGTCTCCCCGAGGCTCCAGAATGAGGCTAAGTTCTCTGTGCACCCTCCCCAGGCCACCGTCCTCCTCGCGCTCAAGTGTGGCCAGTGTCACAGAGGGACCAGGGTACAGCCACTCTGTCGGGAACAGCTGAAAAGCCTCGGCCTGGAGAACAGGCACCTCCAGGCAGGCAGGATCAATGCTAATAGGCCAGGCGATCAGAGGACAGAGGGGCTTGGGACATTGCTATTTATCCTCCACCCTGGAAAATGAATCGAAAATGTGCTCTTTAACATTTAAAGTTTAGCTTCCCTCCCGGGCGCCCAGAATGCATACCCAAGCACCTTTGTGAAAGCGTAAACGGGGTGCCAGAGCTTCTTATCCTACAAGGTTCCTGTTCACTGCGAAGTCCGGAGACCAGACCAGCACAGCCGCCTCGGAGCCTCTGACGTGCAGGGAGCTGAGGTCTCCAGCGGCCCACGGCTGACCGTCCTTAGCCCACAGAACTTCCTCCTTCTGTGTGGAGGAGCTCAGCTGTTTTCCTTCCACTTCTTGCCAAAGTGGAAATGTTTGAACCCTGTGCTCCCTTTGACAAAAGGACAAGTAGGTGACAAAGCACGGGCACTAGTGTCCCTTCCTCCTGCCTCAACTCAGCTGCCCGGCCTCTGTCCCAGAGCACCGGCCTCCCCGCCTGAGCACAAAACATCCGCTGGAAGTCCGTCTGGAAAAACAATGAAGTGTTTGAAGACACCCTGGTGGACACCAGGGAGCTCCCAGCAATTCAGGCAGCAGACGGCCACCAGGCATGTGACCTGCAGTGGTTTAGCGGGACAACCACCACCCAAAGCCACTGGGTCCCAGGGGCTGGAACCTAAAGGTAGGCACCAATGAGAAAGAGGCATGAACCCAAACTGTTCTCCAGGACAGCAGGTCATTTTAAGTCCAGGTTCCTCAAAGGCTTCTAGACGACTACAGCACTGTGCGGGGCAAGCTGGCTTTGGCGGGCCGATGGGTTTTTACAGCGACGCACAGCCCACTTCCGTCGGGCTGTCTCCACATCATATCACATACGTGCTTCGCTGCCTCTCAAGTCTGGAAATGTGTTCCACTAATAACCTCCTTTCTGGAAATGCCATTTCCTTTTTGCTACTTTGGGGTGTCTCCCTTAATGCCCACAAATATTCTTGACAAATAAAGAAGGAAAAAGAAGGCACTCACGCTTCTCCTTGTCCTGCTACCAATACCCCCAAACCCCAGTCTCCCTTACTCTCCCCGTGGGGCACGCCCTCTGCTCCCATCCACAGAGAGCCTCCTCTACGGTTGCCAGTGACCAGCCCACCAAATTCCTGGACCTCTGAGCAGATGCTGGCCTTACTTCAGGATCAACGGCTTGGGTTCCACTGTGGCAGGAAGTCCTCGTGGGGACCGGGGTTGTTTACGGACCTGCCAGAAAGGGGCCTGGGGAGCACATGGCACGACTGGGCTTTCTTCACATCAAGTCAGAATGAGCTTGAGCACTTCCTTCACAAGGGCATCTGTCCTGGAGCCTGGGGTTCCGGGCCCACACTGCTGCTGCCCATCCCTTCTCCCACGAAGGAAGAGAAGGGCCAGTGAGTCCTGGACCTCCGCCATCGACGCGGGGACACGCAGGAAGGTGGGAAAGTGCCTTCGCTTCGCTGTTCCCTTTGTCTACGCCCTCTCTCACCCCGCCTGCTCGGCCAGCATCCTCACAGCATTCTGTGCAAGGATGCTATTTTTTTAAAAAGCCTTTAAATACTTAAAGGCCGAAAAATACAGATCATTAGAAAATGCCAGTTCTCCAAAGCTCAGGAAAATCTGGGTGGAACATTGCCCCCTTTTTTTGAAATGGTTGTGTCTTGGGCTGACCTCATGTTGCAGCAAGACTCAGACATGAGGTCATTGCTCTGGTGTTAACATATACGGCGTCATCCACCCCCTCCCACGGGATGCCAGACGCCTCGGAGAGGTGGCCGAAGAGCCGGAGGCACCGGGGGAAACTTCCGAAGGCGTGTTTAAAATGTACAACTTTTAAAGCCAGTGTGTGTTGTCTCCACCCCACACGACGCTCTGTTGCAGGACAAGACAAACCATGGCAAGGATGGTGAGCTGAAGACCCACGGACAATGGAGAGCAAATGGAGATCTAGCTATCCCAGGGCCCAGGACCAGGGAAAAGCTGCCCGAAGGCACTGTCCGAGGATCTCAGCTTTGAAGGGCTTTGAATTTTCTTTTTTCTTTACTGATTGTAGAAAGAGAAGAAGGAGAGGGAGAGAGATATAGAAACATCGATGAGAGAGAACATCAATTGGCCGCCTCCTGCATGCTCCCCACTGGGGATTTGGCCCACAACCTGGGCCTGTGCCCAGACCGGGAATCAAACTGGCGACCTCCTGGCCGATGCTCAACCACTGAGCCACACCGGCTGGGCTGAAGGGGTGTTAGAATCATCAAACTCCTCCTCTCCGAACCTTAAGGCCATCAGGACTCCCAGCAGTCTCGGCCGCTGACAGCAACCATGCATGCTGAGGCTGCCTGTCTGTCTGTGGCGGGGTGACTGGTGGACTCCTCATGGGAGCAGTCCACGTCTGCTACCTGTACTTCCACTCCCCGATCTCAGTACCATCTTTTCTGACCACAGAAAACCCTTTAATACTTGGGGTCATCGGTATGCCACCTGGCCCGGATTTCTGGTGAAGGGTTAAGGCCGAGGTTATCGGGCCTAAAAGTATTCTCTTCCTATCTCGGTGTATGTTTCCCACCGAATGACACTGAAATCAAGTTGTTGGTGCTAGAGAAGCCCCCTCGGGGAGAAATCTTTGCGAACGGTGCCCTCTCTTTCGTAAACTTTCTCTTCCAAAGCGTTTTCCTCCTGACTGTCAGGAGAAAGCTTCCAACAGGTCCTAACCCACCCCCGCTTCTGCCTTCCCTGCTCAGCTCAGAGCGGGTGCAGGTAGAGTCACAAAGGTGGGGTTAGGAGGTGCTAGCGTGACCCCAAGGATGAAAGGACCTTAATGTGTGCACATTCAAATCCTTAAATCCCAGACCCCTGATTCTGGGTTTGCTGTAGGGACCCTAAGGCATTGCTCAGGAGAACCCAGTGGGGGACCCACACTTTCACAGTTACGGGGCGAAGGAGCTTCTGGGAAGGGGTTTTCAGAGGAAGTGTGTGGCCAGCGGTGGGCAGACCCTCTGGGCCTCAGCTCCCTGCTTGGTCTCCATTCCTCATTTTACTTCCCTGACGCCAGGACGGTGCCAGCCCTCTGACAGGGTCTCGGGGGCCCGCGTGACCTCCGTGACCTCCGTCACTCAGGGCCCAAACCTGCAGCCCCTGCAGCCTTCCCTGCCAGGAGTGGGCCTGGGAGAGCTCTCCCCGCCCTGGGGACCAGCCCCACCCTCCCGGGGTGCCCCCCGCCTGCCTAGCTCTCCCCGCCCTGGGGACCGGCCCCATCCTCCCGGGGTGCCCCCCGCCGGCCTAGCTCTCCCCGCCCTGGGGATGGGCCCCATCCTCCCGGGGTGCCCCCCGCCGGCCTAGCTCTCCCCGCCCTGGGGACCAGCCCCATCCTCCCGGGGTGCCCCCCACCGGCCTAGCTCTCCCCACCCTGGGGACCGGCCCCATCCTCCCGGGGTGCCCCCGCTGGCCTAGCTCTCCCCACCCTGGGGACCGGCCCCATCCTCCCGGGGTGCCCCCCGCCGGCCTAGCTCTCCCCGCCCTGGGGACCAGCCCCATCCTCCCAGGGTGCCCCCCGCTGGCCTAGCTCTCCCCACCCTGGGGACAGGCCCCACCCTCCCGGGGTGCCCCCCACCGGCCGAGCTCTCCCCGCCCTGGGGACAGGCCCCACCCTCCCGGGGTGCCCCCCACCGGCCGAGCTCTCCCCGCCCTGGGGACAGGCCCCATCCTCCCCGGGTGCCCCCCGCCGGGAGGAGACAGGCACTTACTTTCCCTGAGGTAACTGAGGTGTGACAACAGCACTTCGGTGTTGTAGAGGGAGGTGGCGCGGAGGAAGTCCTCCTTGCTCATCTTACACAGCTCCTTGCCGTCCATGCTCTGGAAGAAGGCCGTGTCGATCTCCATGAGGCCGTACTCCTTGATGGCCCACTCCAGCCACTGCCGCACGTGCTCCTGCGTCCACAGCGTGGGGTCTGCGGGGACAGGAGCTGTCACAGGGCTGCCGGCTCCAGCGCTCCCCTCCTTCCCCTCCATGTGCGTCTGTCCTCTCCTCTCTCCCCCCTCCCCCCTCACTGGGAAAGCGGGATCCCCCAGAACTGCCGTCTGGCTGCCCGAACCACTTAGTGCTCTGGGGGTTCTCGGGAGCCTCAACGCGCTCCCTGACAACACCCTGGGAGGCTTCGGGAAGTCCATCGAAACCTCTGCCTGAGAAATGGTGGCATCGACATGGAAATAAACCAGTTTTGGAGGGCCGGGGCCGGGTCTCTGGAAAGGGAAACCACCTGCGTCTGAGAACACGGGTTTCGGGGAGAACGCGAGCCCTCAGATGGCAGCGGAGAGGACACATCTGTGTGCACTTTGCCGCAAGTCATCTGCACGCGTCCAAAGGAGACCTCCTTTGGAGACAGCTGGGCTGGCACTTCTACACCATCGGCCGAAAATGTTTTCAGGCTAATCAAGTCCCTCTGATCGGAAACGGTGTCAGAGAGAAAGCCGTTGGCCCTCGGGTGAACACGCAGAATGTGAGGACGGAGGCTACCTCCACTCCCGACCTGCGCAGGTGGGGGGGCTGCGTGCGCGCCGAGCGCTGGGGGGAGCCCAGCAGGATCCACAGCAGGCAGGGGACCTTATCTCTGATCCCTTAGCACAGTCCGGAAGCCACATTTCTTCTTGGCGACCAATTATTAGTGATCCAATAAACACTGTAAATATGTCCCTCACAGAAGGAAACGACACGCTCTTGGCCTCATGATAGACCTATCCACGCGGAGCATTCAGGTAGCAGAGCACATAACTAAGCATCAGAGTTTTTGGTGGTAGTTGACGCAGTCAGAAGTGGAGGAAAACAGTGTAAATGTGGAGAGTCAAGGGAGGCTTCCTGGAGGAGGAGAGACTGGGCTGTGTGTCGGCTGGCAGCCGCAGCTTCTGTCGGGCCTCCTTTCCTAGCAGGTTTATCTGGTAGGAAGATCTGCGCTGCCGCTCAGTCCCGCCACCCTCTCCCTCTGGGCAGACGGGACACCAGAGCTTCTGCCGGTGGCCCTGGTCTGGCACCGGGTCTCTGTTTCTGCCTGGTTGTTACACGTGAGAACTGGAGGGGAAGTAGCTGCGTCTACTTTGGGAAGAGCCAGCAGCGGCCCATGTGTGGACCGGTCGCTGTGTTTGTGCTCAAGGTGGAGGGGCTGGCAAAGGAGGAGAATGGGGGGAGGAAAATCCGGAGTCTCGGGTCACAGGCTTCGCTGTCACCCCACCACCCAGCTCCTGGCAGCCCCAGATCTGGGTGCCTACTGTGGACTAGCTGCTCCACACGCCCTATTTTTCACTTCGCAAGAAAAGCCTACAGAATGGCTTTTATCTTCGTTTTACAGATGGAAAGTGGAGTCTTGAAAGGTTAACCTAAGTCCCGTCTGAGCTGGGGTTCCGACCCAAGTCCTCCCAAGACTTCATTTCGTCGAGGTGGGTACGTCCCCCTGACCCAAGGCCTCTTCTCTCCTCACAATCCTACCTGAGCTCACCTGTGAGTTTTTCTGCTATTCAGCAAAAAACAAAAACAAAAAAAATGCAGAGCCATTCTTAGATAGTTTCATTATATAGCCCTTCTTACACTCAGAAACAGTTAGGCACGGGCCACTGGTACCTGAAATAATTTGGCACCGTTTCAGAATTCTAAAGAAAAACGGAAGAGGCTGCGGGTTATCATTTCATCTGGTCTCCGTCGCTTCTCCTAATTGCTCACTTTTAGCATCCAAGGCCTCAGATTCGATTTTACACCATATATTTAATTTACTTTATTATTTCCTCCCTTGCTTGGAGCTCTATCACAATATTATTTCTCTCCCTTTACGGCACAATGAATTATAAATCTTCCACTCTGGATCAGGCTAACCTCTTCCAAATGTATTTCCTGGATGATTTAGCCTAGTTTCTTCCTATCTGAACTTGGACCTGGTGATTAACTAGGGTCCTCATTTATACTTGTCTTAAAATCCCACCATAAATTCAATCGGTTCCTTCACCGATGGTTTATTGCCTTGGTCTGTGGACTTGCCCAAATGAAACTTCTCCTCGCATCCAGGAGCTGCCCTGAAGGAAGCCACAGTGTCTGAGAATGATGCTTCAACAGCCAGAGGTAAAACAGGGAAGCCAATCCAGAGCTAGTGAACTCATTATACAACGTGCTTTAAAAACCCCTTGATATGAATTTACACTATTTTCATTACTCTTGGCCCACTGAAGACTGACCATTTTGATTTTTGGAAAATATTTCAACACCCATTTAGAGTTGAAGGGCCAACCAAGCCGTCTGGCCATGTCGGTGCCTTTTCCTAGCCCTTCCCCCAAGTGTCTGCAGAAATGCAGACAGTTGGCTTAGACGACCTCTGATCCCCTAGCCCTTCCGTCCTCCAGCTCTCCTTCCCACCATTTGGCGAGGCCGGGGAGTTCAGTACCAAACGACCAAAGGCCTGGTGAGGCTCGGCTTGGCTCTGGGGAGTCTGGAGAGGGCCCAGCATGTCCACTCAGTGCAGTTTCATTGTCTGCCTTCTGATGCGAAGGGAGCAGACACATGCACCTGAGCCGAGCATTCTAGCTGAGGTCTGGAGGAGACCGGGCAGTAAGTGATACGGGCCATGTGATGTGGATAAAGCCGTTTCCACAGCGCCTGGCACCTGGGTAGTGCTGTTCGTGGGAGCTCCTCTTTCCCTTCCTTTGTGAGCTCCCATGCTTGTGGGAGAAAGACGCTAAAAATGCTTCATGAACAGCTTTCAAGTCCTGGAGGGCACAGAAACATTCCCATGACCCCACCCTTCTCCTGCCTCACTGGTCCTCACACCTCCCATCCCTGCCACCTTGAACTTGGCCCAGCACAGATGGGTGTAGCCATCGTCCCAGGAGATGGTGAGATACAGCTTTCCAAGGAAAATAAATACAAGGGGCCAGGGAGGAGAGCCCCAAGCCCCACTGTCCAGACCAAGGAGCGAATGCCTTTGGGTTCCCTCAAAGAGATGTCGGAGCCTTGCCCTCAAACACAACTGCACTTATACTTTTCCAAATAGAAGGGGCTTGGCCTTTTTGGTAGAGTTATTTTGGTAAAGTGAGTTTTAATCTCTGCCCTATAATTCACTTTGCTTAAGGTTTGGATGTTCTAGCTCCTTCTACCTGGCACTGACCCCACACATTTCCGTCTTCAAACTCCCTCTTGGACCAGGAGGCTGAGCTCGCTGGCCTACCGAGGCCAAGTGTCCAGCCAATGCACTGCAGGCTTGAACAATGATTTTATTTTCTGTAACCAACAGCACTAATACCTAGGAAAAATAGGCTATTTTTACATAATGACATACTTGCTGCACGCATGTTAAGGCACTCCATTTGTTAAATATAGTTATTTCTATTTTGAAACTGAAAGAGTTGGCCATAATTTTGGAAAGGTGGTACCCTGCAGACGCATGGCAGGACTTTGTAGTCACTCTGGTCCTTGAGGGCGGGGTGGGGCACGTCTGGGGTCCCCGGGCCCCCGCTGGGTTCAGAGGCCTGGCCTCTGCTCTCTTTGCGGGCCTCATCCTATGGGAACAGGCACGGACACAGAGTCTGTGACGTGACCTGTTTGAGGACAGGCTTCAGGAACCGGGGCTCAGGGTTCTGGTGACACTTGGGGACGCTATCTTGGAAAGCAGCGAGGGAAGAAGGTGAGAAGTGCAATTTGCCCAAGTCTGCGTATCCAGAGGCCAGAGCACCAGGTAAATGTTTGGATGGCCCAGGACAGGCCTGCCCTGGGACCACTCGCCCAGGAGAGTGCAGGCATGGATGCCAGCCAGCTGCCCAGCTCCCAAGTTACCTGCAGGGACGATGACCCTCCTCTCGTTGGTGGTCATGTTGGGAGGAGGGGGGCCGTTCTTCTCGTCCATGTAGCTGTTGTAGTTCATGGCGTTGGACTCGCCTCCACCAACCAGCTTGCTGCATTTGCTAACGCTGCAGTCCACAGGAGACTCCCTGGATGGAGAGGAGACAAAGCCGGGAAGAAGTCATCACTGCCACTGCGGTCTACACAGCAGGGAAGCTGGCCCCGGCCAATCGCCCAGACAGGGGGGAGCCATTTCCCAGCCCGCCTGGTGCAAGGTTGAGGATGAAGATGCTGCTGATGCCGCCTCATTTCTATTCTGCACGCTGCCCCCAGAGTTTTCTTCAGATCCCAGCCTTATCCTGTAATTACGGTACTCAGAACCTTTGGGCAGCTCCTACTGCCCGCAGACTAGAGTCTGGGCTTCCCGGGGCAGGGCTGCAGCTCCCACCTGCCCGCAGCGGACACTTTCACCTCGTTGCCCTGCAGACAGCGCCTGGCTCCCTGCGTGTTTCTGTGCTGGGCCGAGGGCTACCATGGCGCCTGCTAGCTTGGTGGGCACCCTGTCCCCCTGCTGGATGAAGGGGTTTCCTGAGATGGTGACATTACTTTTTTATAACCTTGGTGTAGATTACAGCCATCTCTATACAGAACCTTATACAGGAGATGAGCAACAGAGGTTTCCGAGAGAATTTTTTCTCTCGCATGTATATAATTTCAACACATTTTTCGTACACTGTTCTATTGGGACTCCCCAATAACCCTCCAAACCTGGTCTGGCAAGGGTTCACAGCTCCTGTTAAGGAAACAGAGGTGAGGTCACTGGGCAAGGTCACACAGCTCGCAGTAGAGGTGACGGCAGGACGGGGGTCTTTAATGTTAAGCTTCCCCATCAAAACACACACGCAGAAGAGCTGTTTGCTGCATGAAGGAGGAACAGGATCCAAGAACTTCCACCTAATAGAGAGGCTGTGGCCCTCGTGGCATTTTCCCACCCTGGCCGCCAAGCTCACAGGGGAAGTGTAGAGAGGTGCACAGGGACCGAGCGAATCAACCCACCTGGTCTCAAAGGACGGAGCCCAGGTAGCACCCGGGATTTTGCAAGAGGGTGCGGAGAGGCTGCTCACTGGTTTCCGCTCAGCAGTGAGCAGCCACCTGGAGAGCTGAGCTGATACCACTGTGGCCACCTGGTGCGGGTTGGCAGGACATGCCCCACACCCCCAGGGCAACATCATGGACCCCTCAGCGTGCCCAGGGCAAGTGCCACCCTACCCTGCCTAGCTTCCCTGCAGCTACTCGGCACCGCAGGCCCAGAGGAGGTGACCAGAAGGCCAAGGAGAGGCTGCGGCTGAGGTTCTCCGGAGCGGGGAGCCGCGGTTCCGGCCACCTGGGGGACAAACCGTTCTCTCCAAACCCAGCCTTCAGACCAGGGAGTTCAGATGAGGCTCTGGTCCCCAACCTCTCCGGCCTTCCCGAAGGCCTGGCCACTGCCCCCCTGCACGCGGCTGTGGTCGGGGACAGACCATCGTGAGGGGCAAGCACAGGGTCGTGCCAGACAGGGTCCTAATCGTCTCGCACATGGTGACGGTGGCTCTACGTGCGAGGCAGCAGCCACGGGCGCAGAAGAAGGAGTAACAGCCCCACAGCAGGATGCGGGCAGGGCAGGGGGGCTGAGCACATTCAATAAAGAAAATTAAATGAATTTGTTTCCTAATCTGAAAGGAAAAAAATATTGAAGATCACTTATCATAGCTGGGAGATAAATGCTCCACTGAGATATTAGAAGTCAGACGGTAATTTTTTCCTGATGTCTTACAGAGGGGAACATGGGCTGAAAATGAAAATAAGATGTATAACTTACACATGTTAGAATTTAAGGTTTTACTATTCGCCTACTGTTTTTCCAGGCAGAGAACCAAGAACCAGCCGTCAGAGCCCCAGATTGTTGAAGGTTTAATGTCCCCATGGCAGTGCGAGGGAGGCAGTAGCTCATCAGGACTTTTCACCAGGGTTTGGCCTTTGGCTTCTGCTGTTTAAGGACTTGGCCTGAGATGCAGCGTCCCTGAAAGACCCTGGTCCTGGGTCTGGGCTGGGCTATGGCTGAGCTCACACTGGGCTCCTCATGGCCAACCGCAGAGGGCCTGTGTGCACACATACACATACACCCCAACACACACGCCCGCACACATGTACACCCCAAGGCACACGCACGCACACACGCTTGCAACCCACACATGTGCGCACCCGGCACACACATGTACATGTGCACACCTGCATGCCCCCGTGCACACACACACACACACACCCGGACACATAGCTGCACACACATGCACACATGTACACCAGTGCACACACACACATGCACCACACACAAAGCCACCAGGGGCTGGCAGCCTCTCTCAGCAGATCTGTCCTTGTGAAATCACTCAAGAGCAGCAGAAGTGGGAGGATTAAGTTGGCCTTAGCGTTTTCGTTGGCTGGGAACTCCGTGGCCGAGGGTGGGGCTGCCGGAGCGCACACTTCCTCCGGAGGAAGCCAGAGCCCGAGGGCCAGGGCTGGGCGAGAGACCTCTCCGCGCGGACAGCACTGTCCGTCCAGGGGCAGCGTGACACAGGAAGAGGGGTTCTCTGTGGGCTGCTCGCCCTTCAGGGACACGGGGGAGACGAGTTCCAAACAGTTCTTTTCCACATCAGCCAGGCCTCTGGGGATTGCTGAGCCGAAAATGGCCCTTGCCACGCAGAGGTGAGAAGACAGAACCTCAGAAATGATAACTCGTAGGCACCTGGGGCGGGCCAGTCCCTGGTGCCAGGAGCAGAGAAAAATAAGTTGGAGAAAAGGAAACATTTGGTAAAAGTCACCAGCATGTTGCCCGGTCAAGCGGAGCTGGGGGTCCCACGGGAGCACCGCTGGGCAGCTGGGCAGCCAGGAGGCAGGCCTGGCTCTGAGGACATCAGAACCGTGGTGGGGACCGGGTTCTCCCGCTGGGGTGACTGCTGGGAGCTGTGCCCTGGTGGGACCTCCTCATTTCCTATCCCTTGGAAACTCATCCTTCTGTCCTTCTCTCTCCTTCCTTCCCCCTGTGTGCACACCTGCCCCCCAGCTGGGCAAGTGGGGCTTCTCCTCTGGAAAAGGCCCTGTCCTCAGGCCCCGACCCTCGGCTAGGGTGTGCACAGGGTGCCCTCCGGGAGGAGCCTGGCCCCCGCCTGCACGCGGCTCAGGGAGAGAAGGACGGGGAGCGGTGAGTGCCCCTCCATTCCCAGCTCCCTGCCACTCTGCCTCCAGACAGCACCGCCTCGCGTGTGGCCACTGGGTCCACAGCCACTGGGGGCGGGGGCGCCCAGGTGAAGCGCAGCATAAAGGCTGCTCTTTAATGAGGCAGCTGGCGCCTGTGAAGGAGGCAGATGAAAACAAGCAGGGAGGGAGCGGCAGCACAGATGGAGGGGAAAGGTCTGCATTCAGCTCATTGTATTGAGACCTGCACTTAGGCTAGCATGGGGTAGCGGCTCGCAGGCAGCTGATAGCGCTGGGACAGGTGACAAGAGGGTCTGGGGCTGCCACAATAGAGCAGGGAGGAGGTGGCTCGGGGGCTCACGCAGAGCATGTCCATCTCAGCCACGGCCCAGGAGCCACGGCTGGGGCGGCCACAGCGAAGGGAGCGTGAACCTTTCAGCCTGGTCCTTTGTTTCCACCTCTGGACGTAAGCTCTCTACTCCTGTGGTTCTGCTTCTGTGTGTTCAGTGAACGTTGTCGCTTTACAAAGACGACCACTGATTTCCAAAGTGCCTTGCAAACTGCTAAACAAACATTTTCTCTATCTTTCCACTGAACTCAGGGCAATCTCACTCAGGGTGTGTCACCCCAGGCCCAGAGCGACAGCCCAGGCTCACCATCGCTGGGTGTCCAGTACTCACAGAGCTGGCGTGAGGTCTCAAGCTACCCAGGCCACACGGATGCGTGAGGACCTGTCATGTGTGTCTTCCATGTAATGTGTGTACATTGTACAAAATTGAGCAAATCTGTGTGTCCTTAGGATTTCTGTGGGATTCATGCATAGATGTCTGCACGTGATTTTTTTGGTTTTGAAAAGAAGATGAAGTGAGTTAAAAGAAAATTTCAAGAAAAGAAAGGAAATCACCCATAAAGCCATCACCCGACCCAACTGCTGTGTGATCCCCATACATAGTAGATGCTCACAGCGTCTCCGGAATCCTGCAGACAGCTTCCCACCCAGCAAGGTTCAGACCTTCGGAAGCCCCCGAGGAAGGGGCTTTGCAGCGAGCAGGAGTCCCATGGTGCATGGGGCTGCTCTTCCTGTCTATGAAATGTGAAGTGTCTGGGTGTCTAACAAAGGCCTCCAGACCCTGGTGGGCAGTCCCGGGAGTGTGGGGCACAGTGACTGAGCTCAGGTTCTGCACGCCAGCGCACAAGGCAAGCATTTGCTCTCCATAAACTGATATTCTTTCCTTCGCGAATGTTTTCTCCAAGCCCCATGGTTGAGGCAGGATGACTTATTTGCAGACCACAGCTTGGATCAAGTTGCTGAGGTCTACATCCAACACAGAACCTACGGCCATGCTGTTTCAAGAACAACTCGCCCTAACAGACTCAACCACAACAGGAAGAGATGGAGAAAGAGAGCCAACCTCCCACGGCGTGTGCAAGCTAGACTTTCTCTGGCTCCTCGGCCCCCAGTCTCTCCACTGGTCCTTGTTCAAAGGACTTGCTACTTGGATACAAAGGAGGAAGGGCACTGTAGCTTTAGGCCCACGGAATACCTCCTCCAGAGACGAAAACGTCTGTGGGGGCTCAGTACGCCTGAAGAAGTAACTCAGAAACCCACGTCATCAACAAGCGTGGAGGGAAGTCACGCTGAATCACAGGGTGGTCCAAAATACTCCAGCCCGGGGCTGCTCACTCGAGGTAGAGTGTGAGCCACTAGATAAAGACTTTTAATTTTTCTAGTAGCCACGTGTTTAAGGTAAAATAAAACAGGTGAAATGAATTTTAATACTATATTAACCCAATATAGCCAAAAGGGTTTTTTCCCCCACATAATCAATATAAAAATAATTAATGAACGGGTTTACTATTTCCCCACGTAAGTCTTCTAAATCCAGTGTGCAGTTGTACGTGCGAAGCACACGTCGCTGCTAAACTGGCCACGTTTCAAGTGCTCAAAAGCAACACGTGGCTCGTGGCCTCTGCATAGACAGCACAGATCTAGTCCTCGAGCCGAGAGGTCCCAAATTATATCTTCCCTGCTTTGGTTTTTCCCATCTAAAGTGAGGGTGATCTTTTGCATTAGAAATGCCATTGTCAATAATACTCAGAGGATAGGAGAAGCCACCGTGTCGAGGACGAGAGATGTCAAGAGCCTGGCATCTACTGGATCGAGTTATTGCTTTTCGCATGATCCAATAATAGCATCCAACATGGTTCCATCCCGAGCAAAGACATTTTTCTGCAAATCCTCGCTTCCTGCTGCCCAGCTTACATGCGAGCACTTATTGAATATTTATGAGGTGCTGGCAACGGCTGTGCCTAACCTGCCCGGCTCTGAGAGTCCACTGTATCTTCTTTGTTTCTCTGGGGGCTGAGAACACCTCAGTCATCAGTCTTTCCGAGCCCGCGTTGTCACCTGCTGATGGTCTGGGTCAGCGCAGGCGAATCGAAGGCAGGGCTGCTGGTGCAACCAGAGCCGGGAAGCTGCCCTCCCGCTGCTGGCCCAGGTCTCCTCCAGCTGGCTGTGCTGTGACTGCAGCCAGGGGGAGCTGGCAAGTGGCTCTCAAACTGAGTTCCTTGGGGACCCTCTGCCCAGGACCAGTATCTTGGAGTGCCTGAGGCTTCCCTGAGCTGGTTGAGCACAAACACAGGCTCCGTCTGAGGCAGAGACCGAGGCAGACCTGGGTCTCGGTCCTGTTGGCTCATAACACCAATGCTCTACCCGACTTTGAATCAGCGTCTTCACCTTCGAGCCTGCTTGGCCGCATCCAGTCCCTTATTCACTCAAAACTATTCATGGAGCATCGATCATGTGCTCAGTGAGAACCCCGAAGCCCCGCCCTCATTTAATGGGGGTGTGATGAGCCAGGAGGAGCTAAGAAGAGCCAAGGCAGGCTGAGTGACAGGTGCTGTTTTAGATCAGGTGGCCTAGGAAGGCCCCCGAGGGGGTGACATTCAGGTGGAGACCTGACACAAGCGAAGGAGAAAGTCACATGACAGGATGAAGTAGGAATGTTCCAGAAAGAAGGAACGTCGGGGAGAGACCCTGAGGCAGGTGTGTGCTTGGGGTCCAGGAGCAGCTGGAGTCGCATGCGGCTGATGTGGAGGAAAGAGGTGGGGAGGGGGGTGGAAGAGAGGGGGTCAGAGGGGTGCTGGGGTGTGTGAGAGACTTCAGCTTCTGTCACAGGCCAGTCAAATATTTTGAACAAGTCAGTTAAATATTTGGAAAGGATGACTCTAGCGGCTCTGAAGAACAGACTTCAAGAAGGCAGGAGGGAGCAGGGAGGGCAGGATGCCACTGGGGTCCCCTGGGAAAGCTGCTGGTTGGCTTGAGGTGGGGGTGCAGGTGAGCAGTGGCTGGACTCAGGCCCCAGCAGACCAAGGGCTCTCCCAGGATGGAGCGTGGATTTTCAACAAGCATGGGGAGCTGCGTGGCCGGGCAGCATGGGAGGCTTTGCTGGGGTGCCCTGCTTGCTGCCGGGGGGTGGGGGGGCGGTTGTTGGCAGAAACGAGATGACACAGAAGACACAGGCAGGGGGAGCAAGGGGGCGGTCTGCGGGCCAGGAGTCAGGAACCCCGGCCCTGGTGCCTCCTCCGTCTCCTCTAAATCCTTAGACAAGTCCCTCGCCCCTCCAAGCCCACTTGGCCTTTCTAAGTCCACTGTAATGACAATGTGTGCCTCACAGGAGCGTGGTGGGGGGAGGTGATAACACGGAAAAATGTTCTGCATCCCGCGTCCATAGTGAGGGACTCATTATCCTCATTATCCGTGTGGAGAGACACTCACGCAGGGGGCTTCCACCCAGACCTCTGAGCCTCCCTGAAATCCGAGAGCAGGGATGGTGGCTGGGATCCCGGGGACTGGTTTGGGGTAGTGGGACTGGGTGTTCCCACAGCAGGTTGAGACCAGGGGCTGTCGGGAGGGCTCCCTCCCCGCTCCCCTCTCTCCCGCGGACTTCCTCCCTGACTTCCTCCACTGCCCAGTGAAACGCTTTAGAAATGATGCCGGAACCTGAGTTCCAGCCCCCAGGCGTTACCTGAGCTTTCGTCTCCAAAGCCCAGTAGGCATTTTGATCTGGACCCTCACCGGGAACATGGACACCTCTCAGCCTTTCCGCCCCGCCTCCTGCTGCTCACAGCAGCGTCTTCTTGGAAATATCTAGGCTGCGGCATCTCCGGGCCTCCCTCCCACTGGTCCCCACGCCAGCTTCCGTGTTGCCGGCAACCAGCCCCGGCAATGACCTCACAGACAAGCTCCTCGTGTCGCTTCCCCTCCACCCATGATCAGCACCATCATCCTCATTCAGAACATTATCGTTTCTTCGCTGGGATGTTTCCATAACTTCTTACTCATCCTCTGGCTCTGCCTCCCCGCCCCCTGCGTACAGCGCTCGCCAGCCCGCTCATCTGAAATCGCAGCTCTGCCGACATCCACGCCGTGGCCATGCTAAGGACCATCTTTGCGAGTGGAATGAGCTCTAGGGTCTCTGAGGCTGCCATTCGGTCCACGCTCATTCTCGCGTTTCTGTCCCTGCGCCCCAGCCCACTGGACTACGGACAGTTCGTGAATGAGGCGGATGTTTTCTCTTTCACACCCTCTGCTTGTGATGAGCCCCTGCCACTGCCCAGCACGTCCGAGTCCCCGGCGCTGTCCTGGCTCCTTCCCCTCCAGCATCGGAGTAAACCTTGGGACAAGTCTGGGAAGAAATAAACCCTCCGGCACTGTTTTAGGAAGGAGGGCGCTGGGGCTCAGAGACAGGCAGCGCCCCAGGGCAGAGCCAGGACGGGAACCTCGGCTCCCTGTCCACCAGCCCTGCTCTTGCCCCTGTGCCTGTACCTCCTTGGACTCTCCCTGCACTTGTCCAAGTGCGGTCTTACCCGCCCTGGCACCACCAACTTCACACACACTCCCTAAGTGTGCTGTGTCCCCCTCACACCGCGAGCCCTTGGATGTGTTCCCTTGTGTCACCAGTTCGCACTTTTACTTGAAGAACGGTTTGGTCATCTTAGCTCTGGTGAGACCCACTCACAGAGGCCAGTATCTTCAGCAGGACAGGGAGGGGCATCTTAACTGCAGTTATCCCCAAGAGGGGCTGTACCTGGGCCGCACACAGAACGGGTGTTCCAGGGCGTCTGCAGAGGCGGCCAGGGCCTCACCAGGGAGCCAGGTGGGCGGGCTTTGGTCTCTCTGTCTGTCTCTGTTTCTCTCTGTCTCTCATCTCAGTTCTAGGAACTGACCAGAGCCTCACCTGCTGCAGAAACCCTAAATGCCAAAAGCCACTCGGGCCAGACCTGCCCACTCAGACAGCTGGCAGCGAGCTTGCCCGCAGCCTCCCAGCCCCAGCGCGGGCCCAGCCGGCTCACCTGGATCCGTTCATGTGGTCGTACTCCCGCTTGACATTGACCCTCACTGGCTGATTGATCCACTCCTGCTGCGGTGGGAGGGGGTTGATTTTGTGGGGCTGGCCATAGTCAGGACTCCCTGAGGCGGTCATGTCGGCCTTGGGGAGATGGGCCGCTCCGTAGGTGGAGTCGAAGAGGGACTGGTCGTCACTCACCACCGAGAGAGCCTCCTGGAGACAGAGAGAGAGAGAGAGCCCGTCAATCCTGGCCAAGTCACTGCTCCTCTGAGCTGGCAGGGTGGCCCGGGGCTGCCGAGGCCGCTTCTCGGGGCACATTTACCCGTATGCAAACGTCTCGTTTCTCTGCCGGTTACCCTGGTGAGGGGGGAGGTCAGCATTGAAGTGTGGATGGAGGATCCCCAGTGCTCATTTGTCATGCCTGTAGCGGGGACCCCCGGACCCAGGAGCGCGGTATGCGGTGGTGGAGCTGGGACCCCGGGCTCGCCGAGGCTGGAGCGGGTAATGGGGGCGCGCACTCCTCTGCAGGCGAGGCCAGGGAGACCCACCCAGAGAGGTGAAGCATTTAGCTCAAGGTCACACAGGGGAAGGGTGGGGCCCAGGGTGGTGGCCCCAGCTTCTTTCAGTTTCTTTATCTATAAACAGGAATCAGAGTTGATGCGTGGATTGAACGAGAAGATCTAGGGGACAGGTGTCTAGCTTGTAAGAGCTGCTCAGCAATGTGCGTAAGGCTGTCCAGGATGCGTGCGTCTCACGCAGCCACCAGCGGGTAGAGACTGCCCGCCTCCCGGGACCGAGGGCTCCTTCAGGATTTCTTGCCTTGAGATGACAGCTTCCTGTCTTTCTCCTGTCCAAGCACGAGGGTGGAGCCTCAGCTACACGGACGGGAGGACCCACCGGGGAAGACCTTCTGAAACAGGTTGCGGTTTTCCCACTCGGACTGTCCCATCACCTGACACAGGTGCGTGGAGATCACGCACTGAGAAGAAGCCTTGCACTTCCAGAAGTCTTTGCCAACAGAAGCATGACCATAAGCTTCTCCCGTGATTCCAAGTCACATCAAATCACAGGGACTCCCAGGCACGAACTGGGGGGTGGTGCTCACCATATCACAAAATGACACCAAGGGAAATTGACCACTTTTCAGAAACAAATTAATTATAACCTATAACTGTATAATCTACAGCTGCGAAGATGAGATGGGTTCATATATGAAAAATACAGCAGTCTCTGGCACATGCTAAATGGTATTTTCTTATGGCAGCTCTAACACACCACCTTGACTGAAACCCTCCCTAGTCCTGTAAAATTACAATCTGCTCCACCAGCTAATTAACACCTCATCTGTCTCCCAGGGCCTTTCTCTGCCCCTGCAGGAGGACAGCCAGGTTTCAAAGAAGAAGGTCCTGCTGGGGCTGCTTCTGCCTGGGATCAGGGGACATTGCTGGCACATTCTCCAGAAGTCTCCCCTGTACCCCAAGATCTGGAGAGTATAGTGTAGACACGGCCACGGGTGGCAGTTTCCAACCTGAGCCGCCTGCACGTAGTATTAAGAGGCTCACATCCTCCCCAAGGGGGTGCCCCTGGCCTCAGACAGAAAACCTGTTGGGCGCCTTCTTCACTTCCTCCTGGTGCCCTTGTGGTATGCTCAGAGAAAAGCTGTGCTTGGGGCCATTTGTCTTCTGGTTATTATACCCATTATCCCTATGTTATTATCTCCATATAATAACCCTTTCTGATTATTACGTCCATGCTAGATTTCAGTTAGTGGTCAGCCCTGATTCCATACCCCAAACCAAGGTTTTTAAAATATTAATTAAGTAATTTATTTTTAAATCCTCACCCGAGGATAATTTTTCCATTGGTTTTTAGATTGAGTGGAAGAGAGGGAGGGGGGAGAGAGAGAGAGAGAGAGAGAGAGAGAGAGCGCGAAACATTGATGTGAGAGAGACACATCGATTGATCACTTCCTGCACGTGCATCCCTACCAGGGCCGGGGATGGAACCTGCAACCAAGGTACGTGCTCTTGACTGGGAGTCGAACCTGAGACTCTTCGGTGCTCCGGCCGACGCTCTAACCACTGAACCACACCGGCTAGGGCCAAAACCAGTTTTGAACTGTCATCCAGGCACACAGTGAGAGCCTGAGTTCATGAATTCCTGGGGCTCTACAGTAGGACGAGGGCCTGATTCCCAAATAGGATTCATAAACAGCCTCCCGGGGTCATGGCGAAGAACCGACCCCAGTGCGCTCCGGAAAGAGACTGCCTTCATGGGACCGGCGTCATCTGCTGCTCTGGAGATGGCTTATGAGCTGGGTGTATTGTGCGTGGATTTGGGAGTTTCCAACTAGAGAATTTCTTCCATCTCCCTTCCTGTGACTTGGGGGAGAAGATGATGGAATGACTGAGGCAAGGAGGCTTGGGGGGCAGGACTGGGCACAGGATGTTCCATGAAAGGTGAAGGATCCCCACCGTCACCATCCCCACAGGGGTGGGGTGGGGGTAAGAAAAGGCGGGGTGGCCAACACAGGGGCCAGGCGGAGGCCAAGCCGGCATTCAGAGTGGACGGAGGGCAGGAAGCCGAGCTGGGGCCACGGAGGCAGGCGTGGAGAACGGTACCCTGTGAGCAGAAGGAATTTCCGAGGCAAAGTGCAGGAGAGGTGACGAATGCAAAACCGGTGTGAACTCATTTTGGATAGAAGTTCCCTTGGGAACCCAGGTGACAGTCCAAGGAAATGGCAGTCAACCGGCAACACCTCGGGAGGAGAAAGCCAAGGTTTATTCCAGAAGCCCTCGCGCTTCTCCGCCGTGTCCGGCTGCGACCTGGGGTCCCACCTGCGCGCTTCCTGCTGCGTTTCCCTTTCCTCAGTGACGACACATGTCCCACGCTTCCCTTCCCGGCCTTGCAGTCCCTGGTCGGAGGGCGCTCTCTCGGAAGTTGTCAACACTACTGCCATCCTGCCACCACCCCTGCTCCAGGACCCCCGGGCAAACCCCTTGACCACAGCAAACCTGTTCTCATCTGCTTGTTTTCCAGACTGAGCTCTGCCCCACTGGCCGCCCGCAGGTGCGACCCCACGCTGACTCTCCTCGCTGCTCCCCGAGCAAGCCCGCCCGCGTACACCTGTGTGTCACGCTGACTCTCCTCTCTGCTCCCCGAGCAAGCCCGCCCGCGTACACCTGTGTGTCACGCTGACTCTCCTCACTGCTCCCCTGTGTGTCACGCTGACTCTCCTCGCTGCTCCCCGAGCAAGCCCGCCCGCGTACACCTGTGTGTCACGCTGACTCTCCTCGCTGCTCCCCGAGCAAGCCCGCCCGTGTACACCTGTGTGTCACGCTGACTCTCCTCGCTGCTCCCCGAGAAAGCCCGCCCGCGTACACCTGTGCGTCTGAGAGTCCGCTAGTCCTTCTCTGTGCTGCGTGTCCCTCCCACGCTGTGGGTAAACGAGATCGTCCTTACTCCATGACAGTGCTGTGGTTCATCTGAGCTGAAAGCCGGTGAGAAGACTGCTTGGGTGCACACACGCGTACCAGCGCACACACACACACACACACACACACCTGTTCACAATCATGACAGACAAAGGGCCTTTTCTTTCTCTTTTTTTCCATACGGTATGGAGAAAAGAACGGTGGATGCAGGCGGCTGGGCAGAGAGAGAAGAGAGAAGATGAAGGAAGGGTTCCCCGTCTGGCCTGCTGGGCCGAATTAGAAAACCCACTCTGGGCAGGGGGAGGGCAGTGAAGACCACCAAGTGGGAATAATAGATTTGAGGAGACCAGGCCCCAGACGAGTTGATTCGGGAGCCTGGGAAAAATTAGAGTTGAGGAGAACATGCTCACTGCCTTTGCAAGGAAATAGCACCCCTTCGGCCGCTCAGGGCTGAGAGCTTTGGGAACATCCCAAGATCACATTGTTGTTGGAACCTTGGCAAGGACATGGCCGTCTTTATGATGGACAGGGGGACCTTCTCCAAACCGCTCTGGGGGCAAGGGGACACAATAAGGGGAGACGGGTATAGAGGAGGGAGAGGTAGACATGGAGCATTGGGCCGGGTGCCTGCAGCTGACAGACTGGTGTGAGCACTCATGTCACTGCTGGGGACTCGCGGGAGTCACCGAGGGGGACCTGATGTGGACGTAGGCACCAGCTGCTTCGGTCAGGCGAGGAGCTGCTGGGCAGGCAGACGTTTCAGTCACGTGCTTGTAACTTACTCCACGTGTGTAGCCGTTGCTTGTCACGTCTTACAAAACCGGTCGCTTGTACTTAAACTCTCACAACTTTTAAAGATGGACTGTAAAACTGTGAACGTAAAACTCTTTACGGAATAGTTAGAGTTCAAGAACTTTTCATTGAGGAATTGTTAAGTATTTAACTTTGGGATGATAGACTGAATATAAAAAAAAAATCATCCTAAAAATTCACAAACTCTTCTCAGAGTGACTAAGTCCTTTCAGTTTTTAATGACTTCACTTCTCTGATGAACTTTGGATTCTATGCTCATCCTTTCATTCAGAGGAAGACAGTTGTACTTTTAAAGACTTGTTGAGTCCAGGTTGCTTTGGAGCATGTCACATAAACACTGACGTTCAAGCAGGAAACACAGAAGTGTGGGCTCCCTGATCCCGTGTGGCATCCAGCTCGGGTTATTCTTGCTCCAGTAGCTGCCCTGGGGAGGGAAGCCCTCGGGCTCAGTCATCAGAGCCCGAGCAGCGCTCTTCCTTGGCCCTGCCGAAGGCTGGAAAGGCTGGGCTGAAGACTGGGGATGCTCGGGTCCTTCGCCAATGAGTCCTAGGTCCAGAGGGAGCCACGCCGTCCCTCAGCTCCAAGCACGGAAGGAGCACAGCCCACGGGCACCCCATGTGCCCTGTTCCTAGGAGCTTGGGCAAGGGCAACCTCTGAAGGGGCAGTTTAGCCCTGAGCTAAGCCGATGGCCGTAACCACCCGCAGAAATGCTGACCGAATTGTGTCTGCTTTCCTTCCCATGATGCCCTGCAGGCCCAGGGAGCCAGCAGAAGTCCATGGCCAATGGGGCACCGGTCTCCTACCCAATCTGGGTAAGGTGCCCTTAGCACCTCACTTATAATCCGCCCTGTGTTCTCATTATAGAAACCAGATCAAAGACAAAATGGGATCGTAGAAGTGAAATACCTAAATCAAGGGCCTAAAGTTCTTGGGACATAGTAAATTCTTACATTTAAAAAAAAAGGG